GAATTTATAACTGGCACCAGTTTGGCCAAGATCATTAGTTATTCATTAGTTGTTCTATTTGGAAATAATTCATGCATTTCCTTGTGCTGTTTGTTTGTTAAATCCTTTTTATAGTTTTAATGTGAAATTCATACCTTAAAAAATTGATCAGCTGGCACTACTCTGGCTCAAGTAAGTGGGCAGCTGGGATCTAAGTACTGCCTACTCAGCCTTCGTATTCTTCCGTCCCTCCTCAACCTCTGAGATGCAACCAAAGGACCTCTCAAAGCATCCCAGAACATTTTCTTAATGGAATTTAAATTTAAACTCCCTAGATTCCATTAACCTCTTTTCTGCAGAGTGTCATAGGCTAAGGGAGACTGAAAAAATCAAATAAATGCATTTTGCTACTTGCTACCTGCTTAATGAAGATTTGGTGGAAGCGTTTGAACCTTAAAAAAATTTCAATGTCAGTGGACATTAAAATGCATCTTTTTCCTGTGCCACAGTCTGATGGAGCAGAGTACAGATGATCTAGACCTAGATATAGCTGTATGCATGTAGCTATTATGGTAAGGGTGCAAGGGTCTTCTTCAAGGTAACAAGCCACTAATAATTACCTCTCTCCTTCTCCTGCTTTTCGATGTCTCTCTGCACTCTTGACTCTTATATAGGACAAAGAACTTTGAGTCTGGTAAGGCCTATAAGGCAACATGGGGAGATGGTGGAGACAACTCTTCTAGCAATGTAGTATCTAAACAGCCAGGCCGAGTGACAAATGGTCAGCCTCAGCAAGCAACCACAGGAGCAGCAGGTGGTGGATACATTAAACGGTATGCCAGTCCCTCCCAATATTTTACCCCTTTCCTAAGTGAATGGCTCACTGAGGATGGGTGTAGTTAGTTATACATGAATTCTAACTATCAGTTAGAAATAGCATTTATTCCATTTTAAAAATGCATTTAAAAATCTGCTTTCTGACTAAATGTTGACTGTGGTTATTGGCCTTCAATGATAGATTTTTCTTTACATTTTTCAGTACTTTTCCAAATTACTGAGTAAGCTATAAATAGGAAAATGTGTTGTAAAATATTCTCTAGAGCAGGGGTTGGCCAAATCTCTACAAAAATAGCTGTAGACGGTCAGATAATAAATATTTCAGACTTTGCAGTCTCTTGTAACTACTCACATTTGTTATTGTAGAGAGGTTTGTTAAAACAGATTACTAGAATCTACTTCCATTGTTTCAGGAGATCTGGAATGGTGTGTGAGAATTAGCATGTTTTGTGTCTACCAAGTTCTCAGTTGGTGCTGGGAGTCACACTTCAAGGACCACTGTCCTCAAGTTGTTTCTTAATCATCTCTTACGTGGCTTTAAGGCATTGTGCTCTCTTTGATTAGTCTTTCCACTTTTACTATGGAATGTTTCTAAATGATGGTAACCTACGTCCCTTTGGTCTAACACTTGCTGAGAGTCATTTTAGTCGATTATTTTCATGGAAACTAAATCTGGACTTATTCCATTTAGAATTCACCAAAAAATATTAACTATCTTTTTGTGGTAGCATAACAAATGATGCCAGAGAAGATGAAATGGAAGAGAATCTGACTCAAGTGGGCAGTATCCTAGGAAATCTGAAAAACATGGCCCTGGACATGGGCAATGAGATTGAGGCTCAAAATCAACAAATACAACGGATCTCAGAAAAGGTAAAAAGCTTCTTAGAGCCATAGGAAAACGAAGCATCTAGTACAATGTTTTCATAATGGGTGTCTGTGCCAGATACTTAGTGGGAGAACGATAGGATAAGATCCTGTCCTCGCCAGTGTTCGAGTTTTGATGAGGCAGCCAGTTTTAACACATTGAAAAACAATAGCTAAATTCTTCCTTTGCTCATAGCCTTTGGTTCATTTTGAAACCAAGACCTTGGAATGAAATGGTTTTATTTAAAATTTCACACGAGGCTTAGTATCTCTTAACATCTGTGTGGGCTGCCTCCTCCCTGCCCCCCACCAAAGGAGAGAGTTAGCTTTTGGAGTTTTAAATTTTGTTAAATAACAAATTAATAAGTTCCTGAAACCTTGTAAGTCAGTAAGGTAAAAATCAATTCTTCAGAATGGTTCTTGTGGAATGGACACACAGAATAGTCCTGTGAGTAATAACAACAGGTGAATGCTATTTTCACTTTGTGTAATATAAAAGACACAGAAAGGGAAATTGTGTTCAATGTTTGGATGTGTCACATCTAAATGCTATTCTTATTCATTGTTACCTCATTAGTCTCAGTGTACTTTGAAGGATGGGGGAGTTTTTGTGCTTAACTCTGTGGACTCACTTAAAATGGATTTCATTGAGGCCAATGATATTTTCAATGCTGTTGTGTTCATTTAGACTATATACTACCCAACATTTTAATTCAGATACTGATTTGGATGTGGTAATAAGACTATTCTAAAGATCTTGGGGAAGGTGATTGCAGCCTGTGTTAGACCCATGATAGCACCAGATGGGATTCTGTGATTCAGTTCCGGGGACTCCCACAAGGTCCAGACCTGTAGCAGAGAAGAACATTTTTATATTTCATTGCATCTAAAATGCCATTGATGATAAGCTGTATCCCAGTTTCAGACATGTTAAACTATGAAAAAAATGTAGAATTCATGAAATATTAGGAAGTTCTGATATACCTTTGTCATATTTATACACCCAAGTTTTCCAAATGAATTTTATACTGTCAGTTCTTACGTGAAATAAATTTTGTAATGTGACTTTGACCCTTTGCTAAATTTTCTGAGTGTATCAGTTACTCCAAGTATATGAAATTTAACTTTTATTAGGTCAACTTACCTTATGAAGTAATGCCGATGTCTTTTTCTTTTTTTCAGGCTGACACCAACAAAGATCGGATTGATATTGCCAATGCCAGAGCAAAGAAACTCATTGACAGCTAAAGTACCGCTGCACTTCGTTACCATTTATTCACTGGCCTAGCTCTCCCCTCAGAGTCATTGCCTTTTCAGAGTCTGAAATTTTGGTTCCACACTCTTCTAATCAAGAGATAATGTGGAGGAAGGGCTGCTACTCCACCTTCCTTCCAGTATTTCCTTTCTCGGTTTATACTCTTAGCTTGGTTTTTATACATGACATATGGCTTTGTTTTTCACCCTCCACACTTACTGTAGCAGGCCCTTCTGCTTTCAAGATTTGGAAGCATTGCCAAAGACAGCCATGTGAAAGGAAGGTAGGGGTGGGGGAGTACCAGAAGGAGAAACGAGAGAAAAGAGGTTGTTACCTCAGTAAAACTTTCAGGCCATTAAGCAAAAAGTTGCATAGCCACAGTGAAGATCTAGTTGGGTTTAGATTTTAAGTTGCAGTTACTGCCAATTTAGGCGAACACTTGGTTTGGGAGCTTTTATATACAATGTTTTTGTTATACATCAAACTTTGCAACCTCTGCCTCAGAAAAGAATAGATTGAGTTTTCTTAAAGTGAGCTTAATTCCTGAACTCTTGGTGATTCATATGTACATAGATTCTGTGATCACATTTCATATGTACCATACAGGAACAGTTTGTACAAATGAATGGCTTTTTATTTTCATATTATTAGTATCATGTTTGCAATTTAAGCCTATTAACCTCATAAATTTGTCATTAGTCTTTGAAGGAAAATATGTAAATATGTATGTGTAACAGGAGACTTTCTCTAAAGCAGGGCTTAAAATTTTTTGGGAAAATTTGACAAAATATGTCACATGATTTCAGATTTACCTCAATGCCAAGAATTATGATAGGGAAAATAAACTTGTTTTGATCTCAGGTAGAAAAATTATTAGATTGCTTTGAGTTTTATATAGATTTAGACTTTTAAAAAGCTAGAATTGTTTAACTAAAAGTGATTTGGAAAATTATGCCTTTGGTTTGATTATTTATGATTGCAGTCTCCATCTCTTAGCCTTGTGTATTGAACTCATGTTCAGTCACATGCTTATTCAGGAATCATGCTTATTTAGGCCCTCAGCAGTGTCACAAGAATCCCATCGCTATTTGTCACCTTTATTTAAAAGCTAGTACCTGCACACTTCAAAGCTGTTAATGTGGATTTGTTTAATCAATAACCGCTGCTTGATCCTTACAATTAAATTTTGTAACTAATAGAATTGTTCTTTGAAATAGGTAAGTGTGTATCTGTGACTGTTCTGAGTTGGGGTGGGGGGCAATCATTTCATCGGCTCTTATTTAACAAACTGAGTAAAGCGAAGGTGCATAAATCAAGAAGCACTCCAACAAAAAGCTGCCTGTAGGCATCTTTCCCGTTTTTATTGGAAATACTGACAGAAGCTTTCCTTTCTGTGATGTGGTTCATTTTAACCATTACTAGTTTTTTATTTGTTTGAGTTTACACTAGTGACTAAAAGGATAGTGTTTATGAGAACTACAACCCATTTGAGAAAATACAGTTAACATGGAAATTTCCAAAGGCTGAAGAGAATATTTAAAGTGAGACTCACTTAGGCCTTCTGTAATAGAAATGCTCTATGCCAAAGAGAGTAGCTTGGCAGGTGATGGTACATGTGTAAAGTAAAGGTGTAAAACACCAGGAATTATGCTGTACCTAAATGCTCTTTCTAAAAGCATTTAGAAGAAAATTCTTTAACACTGTTATGGCTAAGAGAAATGGTTCTGAGGATACCAGTGTGCTATCAGGAGTTAAGAGTATTGCCTACTGAACTTAACAGTAACCTCCCTCTTCAAGCTTCATCTTATAATGGAAAATGATCTTTATCTCCTTTAGTTATGGCTTTTTATTTTTTAAAAAGATTTTCTTTATTTTTAGAGAGGGGAAGGGAAGGAGAAAGAGAGGGAGAGAAACATCAATGTGTAGTTTCCTCTTGCATGCCCCCCACTGAAGACCCGGCCTGCAACACATGCATGTGATCTGACTGGGAACTGAACCAGTGACCCTTTGGTTCACAGGCTGGTGCTAAATCCCCTGAGCCACACCAGCCACAGCCTTTTTCTTCAGTTTTAATTTATCTTTTATTACTACTTCAACTCTAGATATGTTCATGTCATGTGTGAGTTGTGAATATCCTTTTAACTTAAATTTCTACTTCCCGGATATCCTATACCCAATTGTACTTAGAATTTGTTTCTTTAGGTCACTCTCTTGCTAAAATTCTAAGTTATCCCAACTACATTCGTAGTCAGAGTTATATTTCTCAGCTTGATATCCAAGTTCCTTATTCTCTAGCCATTTGGTTCTTATCCTTTTTAACTTGGTGTCTGATCAAAGCCTTCCATTTCTGCAGCAGGGGTGTCCATCCTTTTGGTGTATCTGGGCCACACTGGAAGAAGAAGAGTTATCTTGGGTCACACATTAAATATGTTGCGACAAGTAATCACAAAAAAAATCTCACAATGTTTTAAGTAAATTTACAATTTTGTGTGGGCCGCATTCATAGCCATCCTGAGCTGCATGTGGCCCGTGAGCTGTGGGCTGGACACCCCTCCAAGCTTGCTAAATTCTATTTTAATACCTTACAGATGAAATAAATGGCACCATTTATTGAGTGCTTACTCTGTCGTGGGCACTGTGCTAAATGCCTTTTTATGTATCTTTTCACCAATCCTCCTAACATATGTGAGAGGTAGGAGGTATTGCCCATATCACAGATGAGAATAAATTGCTTTAATTCATAAGCTAGTAAATGATAGACTTTGAATTCAAACTAGGATCTTTCTGACTCCAAGGGCTATGATCTTACTCAGTATTCTACAATGACTTCCAACCAGGTTCTGAAAGAATGTAAGTGACTTAGGGCTGGTGGCCACCAGAATGTGGGTTTCCAGACCACAAGTCAACGTACTTTGTGAGCTCATATTTGTCTAAATACTTATGTACTATAACTCTGGGCATATTACTTTAGATAGTTCCTGCCCTCAAGTCATTCAGTTTAACAAGAGACAGATGGCTACAGAATGTGCGAAGTGCTATCGTAACAGATGGAGGAGCAGTGAATTTGCTTAGACAGAGGGAAGGAGCATGCTAGTAAGGGGGACATTAGTAATTGTTTTAACTGAGCAAACAATGTAAAGGCAGTTAAAAGAGAGACATTTCACTGTGGGTTTAAGGAGCAGAATAATATGGTATAACTAGGCAGGCAAATGAGAATGAAGAAAGGGTATCTGGAAATAAGGCTGGGTCTAGGTCTTGAAAGGTAGTAGTCATCGACTGTCATAGGGGTGGGGATTTTAAAAATTCCAATTAGCAATTAAGTGGCTGGGGACATTTAAGTTTAATTTGTAAGTTCTGATTTATTAGATAAGTACTTACAAAATATTTAGAGAAAATGTTCAGTCAGTATTCAATAAGGTTAAGCATAAAAGTTGATTTAGAAAAAAAATCAGTAATGATAAACTGGTACTCCTATTCCTCCCCAAATTGAGAAACAGAAAATAACATGGGAAAACAGAATCCCTAGACCAGAATTAAAGTCAGAGAGACTTCCCCTAATAGATTAAATACTAGGCTCTTATGATCTCTTGACTTAAAGGTCAAAGTAGGTTTGTAAAACAAGAACTCAATGCATGGTAAATAATAGCTGCTTGACTAAGACAAAACTTCAGAAAATGACAGAGTGGGAGCTTCTAAATGTCCGTGTCAGTAACAATCTGAAACCGTCTACCTTTGTACCTCTATTAAGTTCCTCTTAATAAGCACGGCTCCACTGCCACAAAATGTCTGTCGGTCGCGTGAAGGCACTGCAGTACTCACGCAGCCTGAACATGAACCACTTCTTCCCGGTCAGCTTACTTTAGGGAACAGGTCTTTACCGGTTCAAGTTCTCCTGTCTTCTTTTAAAGGATAAGCATTTCTTCCAGCCATAAAGTTCATTAAAAATTCTTTATTTGGTATATTTTCTCATTCAGAGAATAAACTTGATAAACATAGGTTGTTTTAAAATAATTGCAGTAGTTTTTTGATAATAATTTGATTAGTAGACTTATAAATACAAAAAGAGGAAAAGGATTACCAGAAATAAGACATTATTTCTAACAAAGCTTCAGGAAAATCTTGATTATTAAATTCTTTTTTATCTTACAAATTTTGCATATATGGTTTTAGCTCTCCAAGCCCTCTACCAATAAGGCACCTGCAATAGTAAAGAATTTGCTACTGCAGCCTTGGGATCCATCTCTTAGTGTTGTATTGGTGCTTCTCCGACAAAGTACACTTTTACTCAAGACAGTCACATATTTATATAGACCCTAAAGTCAAAGTATAAATACTATAGTTGAACGGATGGACTGGCATAAAACACAAATCCTTAGATTACCATAGCAGCCTCTGACAAGTTACTTGAATTTCATAAAAATGTGAAATGTCAACAGAAGTGGGATGGCAGCTAATTTTGTGAGAGCTCACACGTTAAAACTAAACATGAAATTTCAAGCTGTGGTATTGGAGCTATTAGCAGGCAGCATCCCCTCCTCACTGTATAAATAGCAACTAGCTATTGACTTCTTAAAGCCAAACTAATGATGCTTTTGAAGATCAACATTGTCCACTGCCCTATCCATGCCTCAAAAGGGTAAATTTCTTGTTTATTGATTCCTTTTAGCTTATTTCAGATAAGTCCTGGAAAGGAAAAAAGATCAAATAAAACATAATCTCCTGAAGTATCAGCTCCTTACTGCAGATATCCTTGACAACAATAAGAGCCTTTGATTGAGCCAGTTGCAACAGGTTCCAAATGTTCTACGAGGATTCCCATGCTTATGGAGAACGTCATGCAAACTTCTTCTTGGTGGCCGTGAACCTCTCCATATACTAAAAATCATGAAAGAAGAATATATGTGGTACTTTGGCATGTGCAAATACTAACCTTTTGTTACTTAGGTTTTCATGTGATTTTTTTTTTCATTTAGTTTTTTATTACACATGGTTCCTCATTTCCTACAAAACCTACCTATTCTTAATGCAAATCTAAAGTGCATGGTTTGGGCATCCTTTAAATTTTTCTTTGGTATTTTAATAGGAAACCTATCAAAAGACAAAGATGCTTTACACCATCTAGAGAAAAAGTCATCTTGGTTACAAGAGTATATGTATCAGTACATCTTGGTATGAGAATTTGGCTGATTCTTAGAACCCACCTCTGAAATGGGGAACAAATCCTGCTGACAAACAGGATTACCTGTGCAGCCTGTGGCTGCAGACATTCACGTGGGTTACTTCACCCTTCTCTTCTCTAGAGCAGTGACGAGAAGTGCAGAAGTGCACAAATACATACCTTATCATAGCCTTCTAGTTCTCGAAGCTTCTTTATTTCAAAAAGGTTGCCTTCCACAGCAAGCAGGCAGATCTGGGAATCGCTGAGGATGCTCTGTGGAAGCATGCTGAGCTCAAGGCAGTTCTCTTCCAGGCGAAGAACTTTAAGACGAGGACAGCAAGATATCTTTACTGAAATCTGAGATATCTAGTGAACAAAAAATAACAGGAAAATGCATAAGCACCATAATGGTTATTTATTAATAAATTAAAACAAACAAAAATCCTTTACTTGACTATTTGTCCTAGTTCTCCTTTTACCGCCTCCATTTTCTCACTACCTACTCATTCCAGAAGCCTCTGTCATCCAGCTTCTGTTCCTACTCCTCCACTTTTTCAGGGGTGGGGGGGGAATGTTTTGAAGGTTCCCAGTGGCTTTTTGGTAAACATTTTCTGACTATAAAAGCACTATTTGTTAAAGAAAATTTGAGAATCACATTTTAAAGTTTAGAAAAGCTACCTTCAATCCACCACCATAAACATTTTGGCACATTCACTGCCAATCTTTTATGTGTGTATGTTAGTTTACTATCCATCCCTTCATTGAAACTCCCTATTGTATCTTAAGTACTGGGTTTTTCTTCCTAACTTTTGAATTATTCCTGATTTTTGGCTTCCCTTCTTGTTCCTATGGTCATCTTTCTAAACTTTTCCCTAGAAAGCTCATCCATTCTTAAAGCCATCATTTCTGTTAAGACCTTGAAATCTGTATCTACATACAAACTTCTCACCTCTATTCCACTCTTACGTCTCTAATTTGTAGTACATTTCCATTTGTACCACCATAATCAAGTCAGCACTACTCCTTTGTTAGGCCCTCAAGCTCAATACCAAGCAATATCCAACTCATTCACCTCTTTTGTCCATTAAATGCTGCAAGCTACCAAATTATATTTACTCTGCTTGGTATCATCTCAGACTATCAACTGGGAACTTTTTAGAAATGCAAACTCTCAACTCCCACCTCACACCTACTGAATCAAACACAGAGTGGGTGCTGTGATCTCTCTTGGCAAGTTCTCCTAGTCATTCCGACGCACACTAAAATCTGAGCATCATTAATAAAGGCATTGGCACGAGTGAATGTGGAGTGAGTTCTCAACCAATGCTAGTTGCTTAATTTTTTTCAAGTACCCCCCCAAATATTTACAATTTTTTCCAAAAAGCTCAAAAGAATATTCATTTAAGGAAAAGATGAGCCTAATACCTACCTTCAAAAACAGACTGAATTTCATAATTTTAAGGAGACTATAATCTGTCCCAATGAAACTTTTTATATAATTGGAATGTTTATCTGTGCTGTCCAATATGGAAGTCATTTGTTACATTTGTTTACTTGTGGCAACTGGGGAACTACATATTTTTTTTTTTTAAGATTTTCTTTTTTAGAGGGGCGGGGGAAGAGAGGGAGAAAGGGAGAAGAATACCGATGTGTGAGAGAAACATCTATTGGTTGTATCTCACATGCCCCCAACTGGGAACCTGCCCCACAACCCAGGCATGTGCCTTGGGTTGGAAACCAAACCAGTGACCTTTTGGTTCACAGGCCTGCACTCAACCCACACCAGCCAGGGCTGAATTTTTAATTTGAATGAATTTTAACAGCCACATGTAGCTAGGGGCTACTGTACTGGACAATAGGTTTAGAAACATAGACACTAGAAAAACTAAAGACCACCTAGTCTCAGTATGTTTAATGTTTCATCTTCTGTGTCTTATGTTTAAATCAAAGATTGTCTCTCCAGTCAGACACATAATAACCAAAGAGCTTCCTAAGTAATGGAAACAAATTTCAAATATTACAATAGAAGCTGTCCAACAATGAAAGGAGCTATCTCCAGAAAGCCTATCACTGATGGTTTCTCAGCAAAAGCAGGACACACACTTGACAAAGTGTCAAAAGAAAAAAAAAAAAGACAACTGATTATATCTAATGTTCAGTTCTGAGAACCTATGAGTGTAAGTCTCTTTTCCACACTACCTTCCTGACATAGCTCCTTGCTAGATGACTAGAGGCATGTTTGAAGAGCATCTGAAGATTCGTGAGAGAGTAACTTTTGAAACTATCACCCGTTACCCATCCCACGCTCCACAAATCACCTACACAACAAACACAACCAGTGTCTCAACTACTTCCATGGGACTGTGGGTTTTGAAAATAGTCCAACCCATAGAATATACCTCTCATCTAGCTTCTGATGCCCAGCTCTGTGATTACAGTTTAGAGAAAAACCAGTTATTCAGGAGACTGTAAATATATATAAAGAAGAAAAAAAAACCCTTAAGCTCCACACCTGATTCTGGTTGAGGTTAAGTTCGATGACCTGCAGTTCCCCGACCATGTCAGGTATGCTCCGAATCTGGTTCTTGGAGAGATCCACCACATCCAGGTGCCGCAGGCTACAAAGTTGGGGTGGTAGTGCTCGTAGCTGGTTTCCAGAGAGGCTCAGGGTCTTGAGGGCAGACAGTTGCCCAAAGGTAGAGGGCAGTTCTCTCAAGTGATTGTTGTTTAAGCTTAGTGTCTCTAGTTTTTTCAGATTGTGTAACTCATCAGGGAGAATATCTGGCAAAGAGAAAAAAACCCAGAAACCTGAATCTGATACAGCTGAAAAATAACTTAGATGAAAAACTTTATAAAACTATGTAAAAACTTTATACAAACTATATGGCAACCTACTGTGCCTCTTGTTAACATACACAGGCACATGTTGTGCCATTTTTTTACGTATTGCATTTTTACCAACAGCTTTCAGAAGTGAAAGGGCCATCAAAATGCAGGAAAGCATTTATGTGTACAGGAACCTCTGCACAATCTGACAGCAATTTTGTAGGATTTGGAAAGTCCTCCCCTTCCATTCCGGCCATTCAAATTATCCCATTACCAGTCATCATACCACCAGAGAAGGCTTGTAGATGTAATTACAAAAGAGAAAATTTCAAGGACTCTGGTATTCTCCTGCGTCTCGAGCAATCTGAACAATTTCATAACAACAAAAACCAGCTTGTAAGAGAACACCACCCTTCTTAACAGCTCATCAGTAGCAAAGCTTCCCAGACGCAAATGCCATACTCAGTTTGTTGTTGTTCAAGGAGAGGCTCTTCAGCAGAGTGAACTTCCCTATAATCATGGGCGGTAGGCTCTCTATCTTGTTGTTGGATAAGTCGATGGTCCTGAGATTGCTCGTCAGCTTCTGCAACTCTGAAGGGAACTGGAGAAAGGGGTTCACAGCGCAGAGAATCCCTCACTGATTAACTTCACAGCCCTCGCCACCCCTCTCCCATTAAACTCCTTGCTCGGGTCCCTCCCAATTTCACCTCAGTCAGCCCGCGGTCCTTAAGTTGAAAGACACCGGTTTTTTGCGCGGTTTCCACATGAGCGCGGAGGGCGCTGTTTCCCATCCTCGCGCCGCGGCTCAGGTCCCTGCGGAAAAGTAAATGCAGCTGTCACCGCTCGGAACAGGCACGCAGCCACCCCGAGGGCCTCCCGGCTTGGTATCCAGCTCCAACCGTCACCTCCTGCAGATCCCTGGGTCCTGTAGGACAGCTCAAGAGTGGCGAGGAAGACAGGGAAGAACGGACAACCCGAGCACCAGACCCTGCCTGTTTAGCTGCTGTTCCGAAGCTAGACGCCACTAGGAGCCTATGCAGGATTAGGGGACCCCTGACTCGCCCCCTACCCCTCAGCTCAACCGGCTGTGAACAGGAAGATCGGGGACACTAGCTCTCCAGGGATGCGCTTCCCGGGCTTCCGCCTGAGAGGACACGCCCAGCGACGTCATCGGACCGCGCGGCGTGTTTGCTGGACGTTCCACTAGTTCTCAACGCCACCCCGGAGGAGGGTCTCAGTCATGGCTGCGGCGAACCTTTGGGACCCGGCGCCCGCGCCAAACGCTGCTGGGCTACTGCTGGGCCATTTCGTAGTTTCGGGGTTAGTCACTCAGGTACGTGGAAGGCGATGGCGTCATTAAGGGGGTGCTTACAGTGGCGACAGGGCGACAGTGAAGTGGTGGTACTGGCTGGTGTCTGTACTAGAGTGGAAGCAGATGGAGCCCCTTCCGGGCAACAGCAGATACCTTTCCGCAGTGGGTTCTGCGAAAGCGGGGCTCTGAGTAGATGGTGACTTCAGTATGCGGTGAGTTATCCCAGTTCAGTTCGTGGGAGACAATAAAGACCGGTATTTCCCCCCGTTTTTGTTTTGTTTTGTTTCCAGTTCAGTGGTAGATACCGTTTCTAGAGTGTAATGGGTGATGCGTTGGGAAAACGTCCAGGTGATTAAAACATACCTTTTCAAACAACGCTCGTTTGTGTGAGGTATTGAAGCGTACAAGGTGGGGCAAAGTAAGTTTATAGTTGTGAATAGGGGAAACACAGTTTATTCTTGTATTGTCACTTATTAGTTGTTACATTATTTTCCATACTAACAACTGTAAACCTACTTTTGCCGAAACCTGTATTTGGGGGCGGGAGGCATTGGGTACCGGAGAGCGCTAGGGGAAGCGCGCGTCCTTAAAAGCCCCCTCAAAGAAAGTATTGGCGAAAAAGATCCGAAAGACCTTGTAACATGAGTGGAGGAAGGGATTAATTTTGAGGAGAATCAGCCTATGGGATGGTAGTTTTAGGTTGGACAAAAAGAGCATGTTCAGGGACCAAAGGGAAAAAGCCAGTAATAGAGGGAGAAATTGAAGATGTGAGGGAATAATGGAATACACCTGGCAAAAGTGACAAGGGAATCAGGAAAGTGGAATTGAGGGAAATAAGTCATTTTGAGATAATGAGAACGTTGAGGAATATCACTAAAAAAAGGAAACTGAGAAAAATAGAAAGGTAAAATCATCTGCAGAGACTAGCCGTATAAATGTGATGGGAGACTTATGGAAAATATACAACTTTTTATACTTAGAAGAGTCATTAGAGAATTCTGCCTACCTAACAGTAGAAGAAACTAAGGCCTAAGGAGACCAAGAAATTGGCCCAAGGTCACTTAACTAGTGAAACAGGATTAGAGACTAGAGCTCTCCCTTTCCTGACCTACAGGCCATTCCTTAAGTGCACCGCGTCATCCCATGTGCATTAAAAATGAAGAGTGATGCTTAAAACTGATGTGATACAGCTCTCGTAGAAAATGTAGCTTGTTTGAGCTTTGTTCTGTGTCATTGGAGAATGATTTAGTGAAAGAAAGGTAGGGTTGGCTGTAGGATAATATGGGGTGTTTGCTTTCTTTTATGCTTTAGTGGCCTTACATTCTAGATAATTTTTAGGCAAGATTGAGTGAGTTGTAGCAACTTGATCAAAGGTCCTTCTACTGGAGATGTGGAAGATAAGGATCTGGACCTACAAAACACACAGAATCTACTATATATTGGGGCTAAGTCACAATCCTCAAATAGTAGAATTTCTGTTTACCAGACTAATTGGGCTGCTCTTTCATTCCCCTCTCCTTTTTGGCTCTCCCTCTTGAACATTTTTATTTCCCCTCTGGTTTCTATCACAGGTAGTTGGTTAAGCTCCGTGCCCTGTTGTTGAATCCAATAGTTTACCAGTTTGCCAATGTGTAACTAAGATTAATGTATACATTTGAAGAGACAGAAAGATACCAGAGAGTGAGTAGGTTACAATGAGAACTGGGAGATGTTTTACTTTCACTTTTACAAAAGAGAACAGAAAAAGTAAAAGAGGCTATGATGATAATGTGGTAGATTAGATGTGTTCTTATTTCAGCCCTGATACACATTGGTAGTGTGAAGTTAGACTAACATTTAACCTTCCCAATTTTCAATTTTGTCATCAGTAAAATAGCTTGTGTTATCTCAGTGAATGGCATAACTATCTGTTCAGTCACCTGAAGCAGGATCCTTGGAGTCAGTACGTATTAACCTGACTTTATCCCTCACTACCTGTATCAACTAGGACCTACCAATTCCATCTTCCCAGGGATTCATTTCTTTGCTTTCTTTTCTTTTTAACTCTACTAACGTATTCCACATTCTCATCTTCTTACCTGGAATACTATAGCAGACACTTGTCTAAATATCCAACCTTCACTCCACCCCTCCACTACATTTTTTCGTTTGGTTTTTGTTTTATATTGTTGGCTAGTTACCAGAGACTTTTAGTGTAGTAAAATACACATAACATAAAACTTAAAACCAATTTACCCATCTTAAAGTGCACAACTTGGTCGCATGAAATACAGTCACAATGCTGTGAAACTATTTTCAAAACTTTTTTACCATTCACAGTGGAAATCCCATACTCATTAAGCAGTCACTCCCCATTCCTTCTTCCCCCCAGCCCCATTACTTTTATTTTTCACACCACCCCCACTTAAATTTCTATAATATGTATTATATATGATCATGCTACTTCTTTACCAGAAGAATTTTAATTTCTATCATTTCTGCCTATGATTGCTTGTCATAATTACCAAAGATCTTTCATTATTATGCAGGAAACCATGTTTCCAGATTAATCTACCCCTTCTCACCTATGTTAGTATTAACACAGTTATCAAGCATTTACAATGTTGTTTTTTCCTAACTAGAGTACTTTTTCCTTTTCATCATTATGAGCTTGTTAATGGCAGAGAGCTCATTTATTCATTCTTGACTCATCCATTTTCAATGTCAATAAATGTCTATAAAATTGATTATTATTAGTCAGCAGACTTTTGCTATGAAGGGCCAGAGAGTAAGTGTTTGAGGCTTTTGGTCCATATAGTTGCAACCAGGCTGTTGTAATGTGAAAGCAGTCAGAGATAATAAATGAGAGAAGTTGAGTTCCAATAAAACTTTATTTTGGGGCTTTAAAATTTGTAATACATAAAATTTGCATGTGTCACAAAATAATTATTTTTATTTTTAAAAAGATTTTATTTATTATTTATAGAGAGAGGAGAAGGAAGGGAGAAAGAGAGGGTGAGGAACATCCATGTGAGTGAGAAACATTGATTGGTTGACTCTCATACATGCCCTGACTCGGACCAAACCTGCAACCTAGGCATGTGCCCTAACTGGGAATTGAACTGGCAACCTTTTGCTTTGGTGGGGGATGTTGCCCAACCATCTGGGCCACACTGGTTAGGGCTGTTTTTCATATTTTTTAACTATTTCGGCAAATGATTCATGATAGGGGAAGTTCTAAAAACAAGAAATATATATTGCTACTGTTGTATTCTGTATTTCATTTTTTAGGGGCAGTGATGGATGTACTTAATATATCCTTATATTTTAGACTCATGGGCATGATTTTGCAATGCACATAGAAACTTTTTGTGACATTCTGCTGCTTTCTCTGTTTATTTTCCAACAGGAGATGTTAAATATATCTAAGAAATCAGCTCCTTGCTTTGTGAACTTCTCCAGGCTTCAGCAGATCACAAATATGCAAGCTGAAATTAATCAGGTGGTTATGTTGAATTTTGTACTTTCTACTTCTAGTACAGGAAAAATCTTAATTGGTTCCAACAGCAATTCTCTTGCACTTAGCACAGTGTCTAGCACATAGTTGGGAAGGTGTTAACTTGGAGTAATGTAGTTGCACAATAATAGTATTATAGTAGTTGGTAGTAGTAGCATAACAGCAACATAAAAAGCTTCAGTAAATTCTGTAGGCTCTCACAACAAACATCCTCTCATCCCCCTTAAATATGCCTGGTTTGAAGCCCATCCATTTTTACCAGAGACTGTTCTTTACATTAGGCTACTTTCTGAGTGAGCTAAATATTATTTTTGCTTCTAATGCAGAAAAACCTAGAAATTGAACTTCTAAAACTAGAAAAAGATACAGCAGATATTGTTCATCCTTCCTTTTTGGGTAAGTGGTTTGGTTAAATGGGTGGGTAATCATTGGAATTTCAACTTTTTCTTGAACTACCTTAAATAAACACCAGGCATTATAATTTACCATTATTTTTCCAGGTATTGTCTCAAAGCTAACAAAGTTTTCTATCAGTGTGTTCAAACAAAAGTCCTGTTGGCGTGATTAGTGCAAAAGGTGACCAAGGTAGGAGCTCCTCGAGATCAGGAGAGCTTAAAAGAAGAAAAATAAAATAAAAGGCTGAACAACTTTTCAGATTGAAGACAATTGAAGGGACATGACAGCTAAAGCACAGTGTGATCATAGATTGAATACTTGATTAGAAAAAATTTTTGCTATAAAGTATATTATTACGATCCCTGGTGATATTTGAACATAGACTATATTAAATATTGGTAGTATTGTGCCAATGTTAAATTTTCTGAATTTGATACTTGTAGTTATATAAGAGAATGTTCCTATTCTTGGGAAACACATGCTGGCATTTAAGGAGTAAAAGGTCATGATACCTGCAACTTAATCAAAGTGGGTCAGCAAAAATATATGTAAGGGTACGGAGAGAAAGAGGAAAAAAGAGAAAATGTAGCTAAGTATTAATAGTGAGTTTAGGTGAAATGTATATGGGAGCTCAGTAAACTACTCTTGAAACTTTTCTGTAAGTTTGAAAATTTTTCAGCATAAAAATTTAAAGGAAGAGTCAGCTATTAACTGAATTCTGGGGAAAATATTGAAATAATCAGAAATAGCTTATAAGACAAATGTTTGTTTTTTAATGTTTATGTAGAACATTAGAGGGAGAGATGGGAAAAGGGACTTTATTTACAGATCTGGCTGTAAAAACTGAACTAGGAGTAGAGTTGAAAAACAAAGAATTTAGCAGTGTGTTTGGTTGTCAGTAGGAAAAGTAAAAGAAAACGAAATTGGTGTTGGGTATTAGGAATAGCAAAGGGGAGATATTTAGGAGGAAAATGGTGGGGTAATTTTTGACATTGGTAGTATCAAACCAAAGCAAAGAAGAACTTACTAGTGATTTCAAAATTTGTCCTATTGTTAACTATAATTATTGTTTCTGGTTTGTGTAGCTCAGAAGTGTCAGACTCTGCAAATCATGAATAACCATTTGGAAGCAGTGCTGAAAGAGAAGAGGTCCCTCAGGCAAAGACTGTTGAAACCCATGTGCCAGGAACACCTGCCTATTGAAGCCGGTTATCACAGGTTAGACTAAAACAGACATTAATAGTTACACATGTTTTCTGAAGATAGTTTAGACTAGTTATCATTTCATAGCATAGTTCATTACATAATATATTAGTGATTGTCTCTATTAACATTATTATTAATACTGATACATTAAACCAGAAGAAAATCCTTTGCTATGGTGAAAAGAAAGGCGTTTCTTTTGTCCATAGTGCTTTGGGAATTATAAATAATGATTTTAATGAAAGAAATTAGATCCACAACAGAGTTAATTGGGTAAAAATCACATTTATTATGTATAATATAGACTGTTTCCTATGAAGTAAATCTATTGTTGCATTCATGTTGCCTATATAAGGTGGGGTATCACCTTGTGAGTATGTGAAACAGTTTATTCTTGTATTGTTACTAATTATTGTGTTATTTTCCATATGAACAACTGTATATGAAAATCCTGTTGGGGGAATTTAAGCAGGGACAGACAAAAACAATGTCAACTAGAGGAGGAAAAAAACTGAGTTCTGGTCTCATCTCTGTTGTTTATCTGCCTCAAAGACTTGGGCGTATGGTTTAAACTTGCCTCAGTTTCCCAATCCATAAATGCTTTTTATTGCTCTTGTCCTCAGAGGAATATTCCAAGTACCAAACTGAAGATATAAGTAGTTATTAATAATAAAATAAAGAAGCAAGCATCTGGGAATCTGATTGCTAACCTTCTCTGCCAGTGCCTCACTAGCTGACCCTGAGCAAATCAGTATCTTCTCTTAAGTGTCAGATTTTTTTATCACTTAGTAATGTAATAGATATACAAGTCTCATTCTTGTAGATATATTCAGTATCTATTCTGTACAGTAAAATTCCATTAATGTATATTTTATATATATCTCAGAAGAGCTAAGTAAGGATTTTGAAGCATTTTGTAAATACAAAGATTCAAAGTAGTTTTATCTATAGTCTTATCTTATTGTCTTCACTCTTCACCAAGAATGACTAGTTTGAAATGGAATGAGGTTTTACCTAAGGGAGTTCCTTTATTTATATGAGAAAATTATTGTCTAACATTAGGTTGGATTCCAGATATAATAATGTTGTCCCTTTCAGTTTTTCTGTTTGACAAGTTAATTCCTGCTTTAACTGAAAGAAAAGGACCTTTTTTTTATCACTGACATTTCCATGAATGCAGAAAGATTATTGACTTATTAGGTTGATTGTAATTCTCTTATCTCATGTTGAAAGTCATAATTAAAAAGGGAAAGGGAGCCCTGGCCAGGTGGCTCAGGTAGTTGGAGCCTAGTCCCATGTACTAAAAGATTGCAAGTTTGATCCCCAGTCAGGGCATATACGTAGGTTGCAGTTTTGGTCCCTGGTCAGGGTACATACAGGAGGGAACTGATCAATGTTTCTCTCTGTCTCTCTTACCCGCACCCATCCCTCTCCTTAAAAATCAATGAAACATATCCTTGGGTGAGAATTTTTAAAAAATTTTTTAAAGATTTTGTTTGTTTGTTTGTTTTTTAAAGGGGAAGGAAAGGAGAAAGAGAGGGAGAGAAACATCAGTGTGTGGTTGCCTCTCGCCTGCCCCCCAACCAGGGGCCTGGCCTGCAACCCAGGCATGTGCCCTGACTGGGAATCGAACCAGCAACCCTTTGGTTTGCAGGCTGAGTCACACCAGCCAGAGCTAAAAAATTTTTTGAAATAAAAGGGGAAAAAGAGAACACGAAATAACTACACTTAAAAAATGATTGGCTGTTTTTCTTCCTCTTTCAGTGACTTGGTACATTTGCTGGAGTTGGCAGTGACTTTCATTGAGAAATTAGAAACCCATCTTGAAACAATTAGAAATATTCCTCACTTAGATGAACGTGAAAAAAAAATGGTGAGTGTTAACAATAGCTTTATGTGCTTCATCAACTCATTACTTTCACATTACTTTTAGTTGTCTTTAGTTCTTTTATACTAGGATCTCAAATGTGTGGCCTATTTAACTTTTTGATGGCTAATATGAGCGAATTATTTTTTTAAATCAAGATGCTGTTTCTTTTTTATATTATTTTTCTTTAAGTCATTTTACATTCTTTTATTCCACTATTTAATAAATATGTTACCTTCATTGTGCAAGGTATCATGAGAGATAAACAGATGTAACTAATGCCTGCCCTCAGATTCCCAAAGTTTGGTGTGAGAGCTATAAGATATTTTCTACTTTATTTTATATTTGTACAGTGAATGCAGCAGAGAATTTTAAAGAAGATGCTGTCTATTAAATGTAGAAAAGGGAGGAATTACTTCCACTTTAGGGAGATTGGGAATAGGATGGGGGGTAGGAACCTTCAAGAAAGTTTTGTATAGGAGACAGCAGTGAACTAAATCTTGAATCAGTGAGATTTGGACATGCTTCAGAAAGAGTAGTTCAGCCAAGAGCAGCAGTGTGAGGAAAGATATGAAAGTTAGCACAAGTACTTTGGGGGAAGAGTGGTATTCCACTTGAGGTGATGCTTAAAGGTGTTGAGAGGGAGATTACCAGTAACTCAGCGTTACTTTATGGAATGCCTTGAAAACTAGACTAAGAAGTTGAGACTTCGGTGTCTGAGTACTGGGGAACCATTGAATTTTGTTTTGTGTTGTTTTTTAGAGAAAGGCACAGAGGAACGACTTTGTCAGAACTGTACTTTAATCATGGAAAAAATATTGGGTAGAGTAGACAGAGCCTTGCCACTTCTGTGTGGGCAGAATCAATGTAAGCATCACCTGGAAGCTTGTTAGAAATGCAGAATTGCAGATTTGATTCACCTTAGACCTTCAGAATCTGAATCTACATTTTAACAACTTCCTCAGGTGATTCCTATGCACTGTAAAGTTCGATAAGCTAGTTGTGTGTTAGAGGACTAAGCAGGGGAACCAAAGGCAAAGAAACTTGGAGAATAAATATATTTATTGAGATAAAAGATTTAAAGCATAGGAATACAAAAGAGTGTGTAGGTTTTTAGATCTTGAAGGTCAGATTTCTAGAATAGGGCTACTATTTGGACAAGGAACATGTCCAAAGTAATGAAGTTTCTAGCCTTGCTGACCTGAGGGTGAGTAGGAGCAAAAGATTAAAGAAAATGAGTTTATTTTTTTGGTGTCTTGCACGGATAGTAAATGTTCAATTATTGTTTGTTGAACTGCAGTTAAATCGAGTTTGAGATACTGAATGTACATCCAGATGGAGATTTCCAATAGACTGAAATGTGGGACTGAATTTTAGGAAGGAGATTAGGTTTGACATTGTAGATTGACGGTCATCTGCATGGAGGTGATAATTGAAGGCAAAGGAGAGGTGAACTCACAAAGATAAAGCATGTCTGTAAAAAGTGGGAGAACAATTTCAAGGCACTTTTGTATTCAGGGGTTTAGAAAAGATCAGGTGTTAACTTTTGGTATCGTAACCATTTCTGATATAATAATGGTATGTTGATGATAGGCATAATTTCTCTCCTATTTTCCCTTTCAAATGTTACAGAGCAAGGCTTTAGCTGAGATGGATATTTTGGTGACGAAGACAGAAGAACTGGCGGAGAATATACTGAAGTGGCGAGAACAACAAAAGGAAGTTTCCTCTTGTATCCCCAAAATATTAGCTGAAGAAAATTTTCCTCCCAAACATGATGTTACAATGCCTCCTTTACCTCTTAGTTCTAAAGTTCATGTCCAGAATGTTAATGCCAAATCATTCAACTGATTCAATTAAGCAAAAATAAGTCTTTTTTTTTTTTTGCTTAATTGTATATAATCTTGTTAAGTCCATTTCTAGTCAATAATAATGTGGGTATTTGTAGGCTTTGCTGCTAGCAGTACTAAAAGAGCCCTCTCACTATTGAAGTACTAAGATGCCAAGTTCATTAAAACCAAACAAAATTTACTTTTTTAAAATGCTCACTTGTGGATATGTTTATTCAGAGTGAGAGAGAAATACCATGTGAGAGAGAAACATCAACCTGGTGCCTCCAGTATGCACCCACCTGGGGCTTGGGCCACAGCCTTTAGTGTGTGGGACGGCACTCCAGCCAGCTGAGCCACTGGGCTAAGGCTGCTTTGTTTTTCATGTATTTTTATTCCACTTTTCAATGACACTTAGGAAGATCAAATATAACTATTATAATTTATTAACGCGAGTGTCTCCATATCTCAAGCAGCAGACTCTGTGTCTTTTTTTTAATGCTTGTTTCTGAATTAGAAGAGTCTTCTTGAATCTGAAAGAATGTTGATTATTCCTGTGAGATTGTCACCAATTGTGCAAAAAGAGTAACATTATCTTTTAAAGGGTTTGTTTGCAAGGTGGGTCCTTTGCTGCTGTCTGGGAACTTACATTTCAAGAGGCTTCCTCCACTCTCACTAATAAGAGTTCTCTGTGATGAAGCTGTTTGAACACTGCAGTTTTTGCTGAATACCTGCCTTTCGTCTGGGAGTCTAGATTTTCGTGCATGCTAGGTAGAAGGTACCTATGTGACTGGCATACAGAAATAACCCTGGACATGGCATCCCTTTCATGGTAGACATTTCACATGTCACAATTCAGGTGCTGGTGGAATTAAGCACATCCTGTGTGACTGCACTGGCAGAGGACTCTGGAAGCTGTGCCTGGTTTGTCCCAGGCTTTGTCCCATGCACCTTTTCCCTGTGCTCTATGTGTTTATGTTTTTACTGTAATAAATCATAGCCATGAATACAGTCACACACTGAGTCCTGTGACTCCTCCAAGCATGTCATCAAACCTGAGTGGGATGAATCTTGGCAACTTTGACACACAGTAATTCCTGAGGGTGGTCACTGGCAGCCTTAGAAATAGGCAAAGAAAAAGGCACGTTATGGTAGAACTTTTAGAGGTTTACCTTATAAAATGCTCAGATATTTTACGTATCTAAGATTATTGTGCATATAAAAGGAAGTGGTATGCTAAAACTTACTAATACTAAGCCTCAGAATGTATTCATTTGTATCAGTAGTATTATTACTCCTGGCTTATTTTCAGACTTGGGGTTCTCGCTTTAAAATGTGTGCATCAGTATTTTTTTTTTTTATCCTCACCCAAGGACATTTTTTTTTTTCATTGCTTTTAGAGAGAGGAAAGGGGAGAGAGATAAACATCAGTTGGTTGCCTCCTGTATGCACCCAGACTGAGGATCAAACCTGAAACTCAGGTATGTGCCTTGATTGGGAATTGAACCTGCAACCGTTTGGTTACAGGTTGATGCTCCAACCAGCTGAGCCACACTGATCGGAGCACATCCATATTTTTATACTGTTGTATTGTCTGTATCACTGGGGTTCACTGGTCCTTGCACTCATCACACTCAACACAGGAAAATCTCAGCACAATGGATGAGTAAAGTAATTGTTCATAAAGGAGACAGGATCGTTGCCAAAAAGTACCCTACAAAAACAGTGGGGGATATTTTGAAGCCTGTTTTGCTGACTTTTGCAAATGAGTTATAGAACAGTGGTCATACATGTTAAACATTGCCCAGCACTTAGGCAAACTTTTCAGTTGTATTTCATCAGAAATCTGTTCAGGTCTAGCCTTGGTTTCAAACATATTACTATGCTGTTTCTTCATGTGATTTCCTATAATAGTTTATACACTGGGTGGGGCAAAAGTAGATTTACAGTTGATCAGATGGAAAAATAATATGACAAAATAAACTTTCATGTACAATCGTAAACCTACTTTTGCCCCACACTGTGTATAAACATACATAGTATATAATAAGGGTGATATATGTAATGTCTTTTTCAAAATAAGAAATCTTAACTTCTAACTAAAATGTTATGGCCCGCGTCTGAATTCTATGTGATAGATTCTCTATTTAACTTAACAGTTGAAGTATAAGCATGCAGGCAATCAGACTCAAAAAAAACTTAAGGTAAGTTGCACCTGAGGGTTACTTCAAAGAGAAAAGCTAATTTAGTATTATGCTAGAGTCCGTAAGTGCTGATTAAGTTGTAGTTCAGCTTTTAGCCATGTGGATACTAAAAAACAAAAAAGTAGCTCTGGAATGTCTTTCTAATTAACATGGGCAGTGTGTGAAGTTTGTGAATTCCTTTCCAACATACTAATGATGTCACATTGTGAAGACTATTCTGGAGGAGTTGAGATGCTGCCTGGTCTTTGTAACATTTTTTGTATTTTACTCCTTTTTCTCATCTATGACTTCCAGACAGACCCCATTATCCTCTCAAATCTTTAATAGAGTCAGGAAAATAGTGTAAGGACTAGGAAAATCCAAAGGGATGTTTGATATACAAAATATGACAGTGTCGAGATAGTAATAAAACTAAATAATGTATTGTAGAATTTCCTGAGATGTTTAAAACAAATGAATTTATTTTTTTAAAGATTTATTTCTAGAGAGAGGGGAAGAGAGGGAGAAAGGTGGATAGAAACATAGACGTGAGAAATACATCAGTTGGTTGCCTCTTGCATGCCCCAAACTGGGGAACTGGCCCACAACCCAGGCATGTGCCCTGACTGAGAATCAAACCAGCAACCCTTTGGTTCGTAGGCTGGCACTCAGTCCACTGAGCCACACCAGTCAAGTATTTTTTTAATATATATTTTATTTGTTATGCTATTATAGTTGTCCCAATTTTTTTCCTCTGCCCACCTCTGCCTAGTACCCCTCTTCCATCCAGCACTCCCCACCCCCTTAGTTCATGTCACTGGGTTGTGTGTATAAGTTCTTTGGCTTCTCCACTTCCTAGACTATTCTTAACATCACCCTATCTATTTTGTACTTACCATTTATGCTTCTTGATCCCTGCACCATTTCCCTCTTCTCCCCCTTTCCCTTCCCAGTTAGTAACCTTCCAAATGACCCCCGTATCTATGATTCTGTTCCTGTTCTAGTTGTTTGCTTAGTTTGTTTTTATTTTTTAGATTCAGTTGTTGATAGTTGTGAGTTTGTTGTCATTTTAATGTTGATAGTTTTTATGTTTTTCCTAAATAAGTCCCTTTAACATGTCATGTAATACTGGCTTGGTGATGATGATGAATTCCTTTAGCTTTACCTTGTCTGGGAAGCACTTTATCTGCTTTTCCATTGTAAATGATAGCTTTGCTTGATAGAGTAATCTTGGTTGTAGGTCCTGACTTTTCATGACTTCAAATACTTTATGCCAGTCTCTTCTTGCCTGCAAGGCTTCTTTTGAGAAATCATCTGACAGTCTTATGGGAACTCCTTTGTAACTGCTTTTCTCTTGCTGCTTGTAAGATTCTATCTTTAACCCTTGGCATTTTAATTATGATATGTCTTGGTGTGGTCCTCTTTAGGTCCAAACTGATTGAGATTCTCTGTGCTTCCTGGACTTGCATGTGTATTTCCTTCACCAAATTAGGGAAGTATCCTTTCATTATTTGTTCAAATAGATTTCTAATTTCTTGCTCTTCCTCTTCTTCTGGCACCCCTATGAGGCAAATGTTGGACCCTCTTACGTTTGTCCCAGAGGCTGCTTATATACTATACTCATTTTGGGGGAATTCTTTTTTCTTCTTGTTTTTTTTGATTGGTTGTATTTTTGCTTCCTTATGTTCCAAATCATTGATTTGATTCTCAGCTTCATCCACTCTACTGTTTCCCTGTAAATTGTTCTTTATTTCAATTAGTGAATCCTATGTTTCTGACTAGATCTTGTTTATGCTGCTGAGGTCCTCAGTAAGTTCCTTGAGCAACCTTATAACCAGTGTTTTGAACTCTGCATCTGATAGATTGTTCATCTCCATTTCATTTAGCTCTTTTTCTGGAGTTTTGATCTCTTCTTTCATTTCGGCCATGTATCTTTGTCCCCTCATTTACACAGCCTCCCTGTGTTTATTCCTATGTATTAGGTAGAGCTGCTTTGACTCCATGTCTTGGTAATGTGTCCTAATGTAGTAGGTGTCCTGTAAGGTCCAGGGCACAGCCTCCCCTATCACCCAAACTGGGTATTTGAGGTACACCCTTTGTGTGGGTTGAATACACCCTCTTCTTGTAGTTCAGACTTGATTGCTGTTGGCAGGTCACTGGGAGGGATTTACCCAGGCCAATCAGCTGGAATGATTGGCTGTGACCACTGACCATCAATCTCCACTCTCTGCGGAGGATCAGCTATGCCAGGGCAAGGTGGCAGTGCTCCAACGTGGTCTGTAGCTGTCCACTGGGTGCCCTGTCCCTGGGGTTTCCTGGGCAATGCAGGCCAAGATCAGGCCCCCCCACCCCGCACTGTGTTTTGCTCAAGTGGCAGGCAACCTGAGATGGCTGCTACTTTTGCTGGGCTAGGAGATTCCCAGGTGAAGCCAAGCTGTGAAACTAATGTGGCTGCTGCTAGTGCCTGTCCTGGAGCTCACTGAGGCCAGCTGTTGCTTGTTTGACAGGACTTAGAAAGCTGTGAAACATGAGCCAAGACCAGTTATTCATAAGGAAAAGCAGCTTGAGTGGGCACATAAATTGGGTGCTGTGGAGTCTCTGGTAATCTCCAGGGTGGGGCAAACAGTGTTGGCCAGGTTGATGGAGTCTCAGATATGGCACCAGCCTGCCAGCTCCATGATTCTGTTGGAAGGAGGACTCAGAGAAGGGACAATGGCCTCAGCTCACCCCAATGCCAGACACTTTAACCTCTCCCAGTATGCCACTGGTGCCTTCAAGCTGCCATCCCAACACTGGAGCTCAGAGGGAGTGAGTCTGAGTAGGTGAGTCCACATGTGGGTTTTTAAAGAGGAACTGCTTGAAACTCAAGAAGTTTCTTCTACCGACTCAATCCCCTCTGGTTTTTGCAGCCAGAAGTTATGGGGACTTACCTTTTTGGCACTGGAACTCTGGGCTGGGGGGCCTGGTATAGAGCTAGGACTCCTCACTCCTGAGAGATCCCTCCCAATTTTTATCTACCACACATGGGTGAGAGACCAGCCCATTCCAGATCTGCACCTCTCCTACCAGTCTGTATGGATATGGTTTCTTTAATTCCATAGTTGCCAGACTTCCACTCAACTTGATTTCTGACGTTTCTGAGTGATGGTTGTTCTATATATTAGTTGTAATTTTGATGTGGTTGTGCAAAGAGGTGAGCCACATCTGCCTACACCACTGTCTTGACCGGAAGCCCACTCTAAAACAAATGAAGTTAAATAAAATTTATTCCACAGTTTGGGGATCCACTTATGTAATTGAGTTTACTTAAAATTAGTATAATTAGAGGTAAGCAGATTACATTCTAGAGGTTTGAATCTTGCCTTTTGTTTCTTTTTTTCCAATTTCCACATTATATTTTCCCCTTTTGGAAATGGCTTTTCATGTTTGTAGGAAAAGATTTCCATTAGGGCAGGGGTGTCAAGCTCATTTTCACTGGGCACCACATCAGCCTCATGGTTGCTTTCAAAGGGCCGAATGTAATTTCAACTCCTTAACTGTTAAGCAGTAATTACATTTATGCAGCCCTAAAATTATTTCAGCCCTTTGAAGGTAACCTTGAGGCTGATGTGGCCCCCAGTGAAAATGAGTTTGACACCCCTGCATTAGGGTATGGTAAGAGCAAGAGTCCCATTATCAGTGAACCTTTCCTGGGACACTAACTTTATAGGCTACTAATGTTGCTATACCAGAATCTAGGGTGATAAAATAGGAGTCAAATATCTTATGAGACTTTAAACTGCTTAATTTTCTCTATGTGGAAGGCTAGTAAAAGTGAAAGCTATTAATTTTC